TAAATGGGAAACCTAAAGATCCCCCTACGCTTTCGTTGCTGCTTTGCTTGTCGTAGGTAAAAGCGGGTGGAAGAGGGCGGTACTCTCGGATACGCTCCAGGCTTCGCTGTACATTCATAGTATTTAATATATCGTAGTGTTTTTTTAAATTTTGATTATATAAAGTTAGTAAGCCTAACGTTTCACCTTATGGTTATTTACTATTTTACAGGCTAATAATCTAACATGACAACAGAAGTTTCAACCCTCAAAGTTAACCTAAAAGGGATTAGTAAAATTTATAGATATAAACTTCGCAAGTGTTGTAAAGTCTAACTTAAAGCTAAGTGTTTAATGAAAAATCTAAAAAAAACTTAAGGAGCAAGACACTGTTCCTGAGCATTTTATGGTAGAACATAAGATCACAATTGAAGGAGAGTTTGCTTTAATAGCTCCTGACCTGCAAAATAATGTAAAGGAAGCCCTTGACATATCTGAATTACCACAATTGTGTTTTAGAGCTTCTAGTGGAGGTGGAGCAACAAAAGATTGAGGCTACTAAAAACTACATTGAATCTCTTAAAGATTCGCGTAGAAAGCAAATCACTACTACAAATTATCTTTTGTTAATGCTTTGGAGACCCATGACTTGTCTCAGGAGGTTACTGAACCTAAATTTTATAGCAAACATGAGGATAGAGTTTCAATTGCACTAAACCTTTATTACAAAGAATTCGTTGGTTTGAAAAAGTTATTTTCGAGCTTAAATATAAAAAGACCCGATGGTAGGGTGGGAAATCCTTCACCTATTAAGAAATCTCTTAAACAACCCCATTTAAAAAATTTCTTTCCCCGCTGGACAAAAGAAAGAAGTTGAGGGGAAGGCCCGTGCTCGAGCTCAAACGGAAAATATTGGACAAAAACCTCTCAAAACACTGAAGAACAACAAAAGTTTAAGTAAAAAATGCAAGAGTAATTAATGTACTTTACAAATGAAAATAGTTATTATTTGCTTACTTTTTGTTATACTCTACCACTCTAAACTTAATATACAACAAATTATACCGTAAAAAGTAATTTTTTACGAATTCATTTATTTTAAAACAGACATTTTTAGTTAGTAGTATAAATAATTTAATTGGTTTTACGAATCCGTATTTTTATAATAATAGTAGTTATAATCATAACATTTGTTTAGGTCATCACTCCTTACCTCTATTTATATTTATCTTTGAAGATATAATATCGTAATTTATATATTAACGTTTTTTATAAGTTCTAATAAAACAATACTAGAAAAGCATTTTGTATGCAACTTTTCAGTTTTTTAAAAATTTATCAAAAGCAGTTTCTGTCTACTCAAAAAAGACTGAAAACCTAAAATGTGACGTCTAAAGTAGATAAAAAAATTTTAATGTAAAAATTTTTTTTAAACCGAAAACTATCAATAAAGGTTGTTCTTAAAACATTTAGCTTTTTAAGTAATTTTAAAGTAGTTACTATGAACAAAAAGAAAAATATCCTTAGAATAAATACGAAATTTAAAAACTGTAAATGCTGAAGGTTATAAAAATGTTTAGCTACTAGGAGTTATGAGAAACATTCTAGAGCAGGTACTACGACTATCAGAGCCTGCATAAAGAATGAATATATGGAAGCATACTAAAATTGACCAGTTTCGGACTGTATTTATACTTTTACAAAAGGTCGAAATTGCTTCCATTATGTACAATAAATTTAATTGAACCAAATAAAATTTTTTTGTTTAGTTTGGTATTCAATTAATAAGATAGGTCAAAATTAAATTTTTTGTTGAAATATTAATTTCTCTTTTATTAATCGTTTCTCAAGTTATTGATTGGATTAATTACGGATCAATTTTCCTTCGAAATTTAGAGGGTTAGTGTTTTGTGTTTTATGCCCTGTATACTGTTATGGTATCTTGTTTTAAATTGTCTAAAATGTTGTGTTACCGTGTTGTTGTGTTAATGACCAAGAATGCTTTAGGTTATACAATATTTTTAAGTTTAGCCACAATTCATAATATATAGACTTTCATTTAATAGACTACACTACTCTCAATTACTAAGTCAATATACCGTCAACAATGAACATTTATATACAGTATAAAATTTAATGTTATAATCATTTTAAACTTTATTAGTGTATCTACGCTTTATTTATCAAGCTTTTTCATTTATCATTTCAGAGTTAACAGATAGCTAAGAAAATAATATTAATAATCTGTTTTATTACTGAAACTAAATATATATTACTTTGTAACAGTCAGTTAGATTTTAATATTTTAACAAAATTAAGAAATTACTCATAAATTAAAAAGCCCCAAGAATACAGTTACACTTTATGTTGTTAAAAGTAAAACTTACTTTTTTATAAAAGAAAATATACTATAAAAGATATATAGAGACCACATTAATCAAAAAAAAAAGTTAGTTTTAATTCACTGTATAGCTTATTTTTCAGGGCTTGTATGAACAATGTCAGGAATTCTATATATGAAAATGAATTAAAAAAAATTAAAAAAGAATTGTTTAACAGTTTACTTATTTGACAAAGCTTCAATATAAATGGATTTCTGAATAATTACCTGTTATTTTTTAAATAAATATAGTTTTCAAGGGTTATCATAAAACAGTTTTATTAACTTTAATTAAATGAATTTTATTGCTTTTTAAATTTAAAATTAATTTTTATGTAATAGTATTAGACAGTTTTTTTGGCTTATTATTCAAATATAAAATATATTATTGTGGCTACTATATTTATATGATTTTTCAAATAACAAATAATTTTTGTTTTTTAATTTATGAATTTCTACAAAGTTTTGATGTTAAACTAAACAATTAATAAATTAGTTTTATTATATTATTTTATGGAGTTTATTTTTATTTAGTATTGTATAACTTGAGCACCGTCCTTATAATAAAATCTATCAGTGTTTACTGCCTTTAGTAAAGATTTTTCCAATGTTTCGTTAAAGTGTATAATTTTTATTTTTCGATTTCTCCTTATCCTTTCCTTTGCCTTTTTTAATTCGTACACAATTTTGTTCAAAAAAGTGCTGCAGGTTTAACAAGGGTAAGATTTTCCTTAATAAAAATGCTTTGCTCCGATGTTAGTAGATATGATATTTACTAAGCAATTGAATTATATAAATTCATAATATTTATATAATCTAAAAAAAATCGTTTTTAAGATTAAAAAATTTTAAATATGGTTAATAATCAAAAAAAAAAATTAAGTAAAAATGAAGATTTCATAATTTGAATACAATAAAGGTTATAAATTGTTTAAAAAAAAGTAAAAAGCTATAAACTACTTGCAAATACGAAAACAAAATTTAAGTTAATAATTTAAAATAAACAACTTTATCTAATTATAGGTCTTTTCAAACTTCTTGTATGGAACAAATATGATACTATTAAAATATATCATGATCCTAAATGTATTTTAAAGCAAAATAGTATTAACAAGTTTTAACACAAAAGTAAAAATTGAACGCAGAAAACTGAAGTGCGCACAAAAAATAATTTCTTTTAGGTAAAATTCCCGAAACAGAAACTGAAGTATTACAAATATGAATAAAAAATTTATTGCAAAAGAAAGACATACTAAAAAAAAAAATTTAAATTAATTATTAAAAAATCTTATTATCAACAATTTAAAGTGAAATTAATAGAACTTTCTCTTGTGATTTTATCTTTTTCAAATTTTATTTTTTGTTTATATATTTCACATATTTCTACTATCAAATCTATTACAAAAATTTTTACTGCCATAATAGCAACAAGAACTCCAAATCTTTGCTAGTGAATTTATTTTTATTTTATCTAGTTAAGATATTTTCATTATAAATATTTTAGCTCCCAATTTTTTTTAACAATTTTATCAACATTACAGATTTAAATTATCTAAATTTCTTGGGGTGAATTTATTTAATTTTTTTATGTTTGGTATAGTTTAGATATTATCATTACTATTAATATTCTGGCTATCAAAATTATTAAAATGCAATGTCAAATTTTTAAATTTTTTTTCTAGTAATTTTTTTTATTTTTATAGTCATTAATTCTTCCACCACTTCATAAAAATATTTATATTTTTATGATCAATTACATTAAAATCAAATTTATCATAACTAAAACTAAAAATGTTTAAATTTTTTTATAAACTTTGTAACCTCACAATAATATTTTAATAATCCTGCATTTCATATTTTTTTTAAATTTTAATAAGAATTCGAGCGACTTTATAGTATAAATACAGATAATAATAATATTTGCCAAAATTCTATAACCCAAACTCTTGAAAAAATGAACTAAATTAAATTTTTAAAAGAGCTGTGCTTCTTTATAGTATAAATATAAAACAAAACTCTACCAATCAACTTTTAAATAGTTATAAATCATTCAAAATAAATTTTTATTTGTGCATCTCTTTAAACTTTGTTTCCTTTTCTCCAGCTCAAACTTAAATTTAATAAGATAATTAAACTATAAACAAAAAAAAATTGAGCATTTTTTTAGTATTAATTTGAGTAATAACTTTTCTCTGTAATTCTGCTATTCACTTATCAATACTTTAAAAATCAAATAAACAAAATTTAAACAAGATTATTGCTTCTTTATAAAAATATCATTTTTATTAATAATTTTTTTATTTGTAGTACAGCAATTGGTATTTTTTGAATTTTTTTTAAACTATTAAACTAAGATCTATAAATTTAATAATTTAGCAATAAAATTAATAATAATTATTTTTATAATTTAGCAATACATAGTTTTAAAAAATTTCATATTCTGATAAACTAAACTTAAACAAGACTTACGCATTTTCATAGCAAAAAATTTATATAATAATAATTTCAATATAAATTGCAATTTATAGTTTTAAAAAAATTTTAAAATCACTTAAACTAAATTTTTAACAATATTTATGCATCTTTATTATATAAATTTAAATAATAATAATAAGATTTTTATTACTAATAAAAAATAATTTTATGGTTTCCACTGTCTAACTTCACCATCATCACTAAAAGTTGCTAGTAAATTTTGATGTGGATGATGGACAACGCCAATCACTTCAGAGTTAGAAAGCTATTATTAAATAAGAATAAATCTAAAAGTTTTAATATTAAATACTTAAAAATATAAAAATATAAAAATTCTCATCAAAGGAAAGCTACTTAGTAATAGTGAAATTTCAATATTAATTTTAAAAATAAATTTAAATTAAATAAATTATCTCCTCTATAGTCAGCTCAAGTTTGCATGTTTACAAGTTTAGTATATATATAAATTTATATAAAAAATTTTAATTAATAAAAAAGTACGCTATTGTCTGATAAAAAAAATTTATTGAGAATTTAAAGTTTAAATTAGATGAAAAAGTAACTACCTCCAAAGTATACTTGATTGGTTAAACTAAAAATTAGAACAGCAAATAATGCATATAAAAATCATCATTAAATATATATATATATACCAATTACTAATAAAAAAAGATTTTAAAAAAAAGTAAAAAATTTAATTGATTAAAAAATAATTTCCTCCAATGTCTGCTCGAGTTTGTTCGTTTGCAAGTTAAAGCAGTAAAGAATTTTATCCTCGCCAACAGCGTAAATGCACGTGCCTCGAGGTGAAAGTGTGCAGCACACAAATTCGCCTCCTTTATAAATTAAAAGAAAATTAATTTCTGATATTTAAATATAATTAAATAGAAGACATAGATTTATGATATAAAATTTAAAAATATAAATAAAGTAAATAAAATATAATTAAAAGCTTTTAATAGATAGAAATTTTTTACTCAATTTAGAATTAAAAATTAAAATCAAAATAATTAAAAAACTAAAAGTTCAAATAAAAGATTTCGGAAAATAAAAAAAATATGGTATTTATAAAAATATTAATAAACTAATAAAATTAATAAGAAGTACTTAAGAATAACAAAAATTTTAATGTGTTGACTTAAAAACTAATAACTTTTAAAAATATTAAAAAATAAAAAAAATTAAAGGTTTTGAGAACTAAAAAAAAATATTTTGAAAATGTGTATAAACTAAAAAAATTTAGAAAATGAAAATATTTATAATTAGATTATAAAAAAACAAAATAAATTATAAAAATGTTTATAAATTGAAAAATTAAATATTAAGCTTTTGGATATTTAAAAAAAAATTATAAATAAAAAGAAAAAAATAATATTTTCAAATATTAATAAATAAAAAAAAATAATTAATAAATTTTAAAAAAAAATACTAAAACTATAAATTAAAAGAAAAAATTAAATATATTATTTACTTTATAATAACTGTAAAACAATATAAATATAAATAATAAAATAAAAAAGAAAATATTAATAAAAAAGTAAAATTATAATAAAATAAATATACAATAAATCAATAATTAATATCTTATAGAATATAATAAAATAATAATAAATTTATAATAAGACAATACAAAAAAAATAGATAATAATTTAATTATAATATTAAATATGAAATATAAATTTATAATAAAAAGTATAATTAATAAAGACATAATAATATTAAATAAAATAGATATAAAATATGAAATAAATATTTTGAAAATAGAATTAAAATAAAAAAAAGAAAATGATAGTAATATTATAATAAATGTAACACAACAATACTAAAGTAAAAAGAATTTAAAATACAAAATAAATAATAATTAAAAAAAACTAAATTTAATATAAAATAATTAACAAATATCAAAAAAATTATATAAAAATAATAATAGTAGAACTTCACGAGAAATAATAAAAAATATAAACGTAATAAAAAAATTAATAATAACATAAAAATGAATTTGTTATGTAGTAAAAAATTAAATTAAAATTATAATAAAATAAATATCAATTAGAAAATACATATATAAATAAATTTATATAATAAAATAATATAAAAATATTTAAAAAAATTAATAATAAAAAAATATTATAATCTAAATATAAAAATAAATAAATTCATAATAAAATTACATAAAAAATATTAAAAAACAAAATGTAATATAAATTTATAATAAAATAATTACAAAAAATATTTATAAATTAAAATTAAAATAGATTTATTATTTAATATATAAAAAATATTAAGAAATTAGATGTAAGATAAATATTTAATAAAAAATATAATAAATATAAATTAATAATAAAATATACAAATATATTTAAAATTAGATATCAAGTAAATTTATAATATATAAATATAAATTTAATAAGAAAATAAATTTTTGAAAAATAAAATTATTATATAATAAATTTACGGGAAAATAAATGTAAATATAATATATAAATAAAGTTGAAAAATAAATATATAATAATACAAAATATAAACCTTTTTGCTTTCCACTACTGAAAGACTTCACAATTTGGCCTTGCAAATTTATAATGAAAAGTGTGGAAGACTCGTTGCATACCACAAACCGGTCGTTCCCTAAAGGCGGCTGTTTGCTTTGGGTTAGCAAGTGAACCTTAAAAATATAATAATAACAGTAATATAATAGTATTATTTAAAAATATAATAAAAAAGTTTGTATAAAAAAATATTAAAGTGATAACCTTAATATAAATATTATATAAAAGTTTGTGCTAAAAAAGTGTAATAATAATAAAAATTTAAGTGTATTAACCAAATAAAGTTTGTATATGAAATTTTATTAGTAATAAAATTAATATAATTATTATGGATAAAAAAATATTATTAAAAAAGTTTGTATTATAAAAATATTAATATAAATATAATTTATTAAAAAATATTATATTGAAGTTTATATTAAAAAAATATTTTAAAATATTAATATAAATATAATCCACAAAAATATTAAAAAAAATTTTGTATAAAAAAATATAATAATAATATAAATATTATTTTTAAAAAGATATAATGTAAAAGTTTGTATTTTAAAAGATATAATAATAATAACGTTTATATTAAAAAATAATAAAAATGTTTATATTAATAATATACATACTATTTTAAAAATTTAAAAGCTTAACTTGAAAAATATAACATAGAAATATATCTATAAAATTTTCATATTAATATAAAAATAGTAATATATATAGTATAACTGGATATATATATATAAAAATAGTAATAATAATAATAATATTTGTATGTTTTGCTTTAGCAAGTAAATCAAATAATATAAAAAATAATAATAAATAATAACATATAAAACAATAATATATATATGATTCATATTAAAACATAGTAAATATATTAATAACATAATAATACAATAATAATAAATAATAATTTTAATAAACTTCATATAAAAATATAGTAATAATAACAAATAAATGATAATAGTAAATAAAATAAATATATAGATATAACGCTTTACGTAATACATATTTAATTTTCTTGTGTGCCATGCGTTAGCAAAAAGTTTATTTAAACAAATATACATAGAATAAAAATATATATAAATGTGAATGTTTTATAGTAAATAAGTTTGTTAAAAAATAATAAAAGGGAGAATAATAATATATAGATACTTAATAATAAAGCAAAGAGGTTCTCAAAATAATAAAAAATGTGTATAAAAAATATAATAAATAAATTATAATAATATATGAAAAACTAAACTTAAAATAAATAAAAATATATAAAAAAAAAAGGTGAATATAAAAATTCACAAAAATAAATGTAAACTCGCAAAAATATGTAATATAAATTAATATCAAGACTAAAAGTATGTTAAACTTTTTTAATATTATTAAAAAATAGCAATCAAATTTATAATAATATAAACAAAAATAATCATAAATAAAAAGTTTTGAAAGTTTTTAATAAATTACAGAAAAGCTGCTTTTAAGTTTATAATACTGAAAAAATATTTATATAAATATAAAAGAAGCTAAAATTATATAATAAATATTAAAAAAAGAAAATATAATAACATATAAAATAATAAGTAAATAGTAATAATAAATTTATTATAATATATAAAAAAAATTACCGAATTCACAGAAATTTCCTGGTGAGTATTTAAAAAATCTTTACAAGTTCTTATACAAGACGTGGTTTTTACGTCCCAAAACTTTTATTTTTCATAAAAAATAAAATATTTTGATAAAAAAGTCTTTAAGTGTTTCAAAAGTATTGAAAAAAAAAATAATGAAAAATTATTGAAATTGTTGGATAAAATATTTCATAAAAATATTAATAAAAGTATAAAAATAAATTACTGAATGAAAAGTATTTAAAAAAAATTAATAAAAATGGGAAGTTATTAAAATTTAAAAAAAAAAAATATAAAATTGTAGGCTACAATATTTCATATAAAATATTGGAATTATAAAAAAATAAATTATTTTAAATACAAAAAATAATATAAATTTAAAAATATATATAGTATAAAATAACATTCAATAAAATTTATAATAATGACTATTATTAATATTATTAATACCATAAAGTTTAATTTTTAATAAATACTATAATTAATATTATTATTAAAAAATTAATAATAAAAATATAAACTTAATAAAATAATTATAGTTAAAAAAAACTTTAATTTCATAATAACACAAAATAAACTATAAATATTGCAATATAAATAATCTAAGTTATAATAAAGTTTAAGTAGGATTTTACTCTTATTAATATTATAAGCATTAACAATATTAATATTATTACTTTAGTAAAACTTCGAACAATTTATAATTAAAATAAAAAATAAAAAAAACAAAAAATTAAAAAAAAAAACAAATTTTATTTAACATTTCAAAAGTAAATAATATTATTATTACTATAAAAAAATAGTAACATTGAAATTCCCAACAAAATAAAAAAAACCGCATAAGACGCAAGAAAAAATTGAATCATAAAAAAAATACTTTTACAGTTCCATCGCTTGAAGCAGATATTAATGAATTCCCGTCTGAAGAGTAGATCACACAATTGACATACGATTGGTGGCCTCGAAAATCTTTCAATGTTTTTCCTGACTTAAGACCGTGAATTCTTGAAAAATGGTGATTATTATAATAACTGAACCGTAAAAATAATATAAATAACGAATAAAATTATTAAGAAAAGTAACAAAAAATGAAGAAAATAATAACATTATAATTAAAACTGTTCAATATAGTAACAAAAAATAATTACTACTAATAATAAAACTTAAAAATATTAACAAAAGTAAAAAATAGTTAAATAATAATAATAACCCCGATAAAGTTATGAACATATATAACAAAAATAAAGAAAATAATAATAATTATATTGAACAGGAGAAAAAAAGTAATAATATCAATAATAACTAAATTTTTAAATATAAAATCAAACAAAGAATATCTTCGTATCAACTACAAGAAAATCCCTAATAATTATAATAACCAAATATTTTAATAATAATAACAATAATAAAGTTATTAAAAGAAATAAAAAGAAAAAATATTATTATAATAATAAAACATATTAACATTAAAGTTACTACAAAAAAATGGGAGGGGGGGGGGGGGGGGGGGAAAACACAAGAAACAGAAATAATAAATACAATAGTAACATCAAATAAAATAAAAAACATTTATTAATAAAATTTAAATCAAATATTTCAAAAATTATAATATAAAAATAACAAAATAATATAAAAAAAATAATATGATACTTATAATATTAAAGAAACAGAAGAACAATCAAAAGGATATAATAATAATAACAAAAATAATAATAAAAAAAAAAGACAAGTAAATTTTACTTAACATAAAAAAAACATAAAAAACTTGTATAATAATAAAAAAAAGATAAGAAAAAATATAATAAAAAAATAATATATACAAGAAAAACGTTAAAATAATATTCAAAAGTTAGGAAACACTTAAAAAATAAAAATTAATAATAATAAATTATAAAACTATTATATAAATAGAAACATAAAAGTTTTAGTAACAATAAAACTATTAAAGTATTAATAACAGAAACAACTTTAAAAATAATAAATAAAATATTTACAATAAATAATAATAAATAATAATAATAAAAAAGATAAAACAGAAAAGTTTAGTAATTATAAAACTTAATAACAGAAACAACATGAATAATAAAAGTGATATTTACATTAAAAATATGTAATGAATAATAATAACATATATTAATAATAACGGTAATAAAAGTTAAAAAATTAATAAAAATATTAATAACAAAAACAACTTTATAATTATAGTATATAAAAATAATATTTAATAATAATAATAATAAATTTATTAAACTTTTAAATAATGAAGTCTACTTACAATTATTGATATATAAATAATATATTATAAAAATAAATTAAATTAATGATAATAATAACGATAATATATAAATCATTTATAAAACTTTTTAATAATTAATAAAATTTATTTACCATTATTACTTATACATATAAATGTAACTAAAAATAATAACTTTATAGTTTTATCTAACGAGGCCGTAACAACAAAAGTATTGTCTCTGCTAAAAGCCACTGAAGTAATGCCTATGAAAAAGTATAAAAATACATTAATATAAAATATAATAGAAAAATATATATATATATATAATATGTAATAGAATAGAAATATTATAAGAATAATTTAGCAAAAAAATAATAAACCGTTTCCATGTGCTCTTTCAAAGCGCCTCAGACATTGGCCAGTTTCAATCTACAAATAAAAATTCATTTTTTCAGGATAATAAGATGCTAATTTATAAAGTTCTGTTTATTGGCAATTTAGAATTACAGAACTTAAAAAAAAGATGATAAAAAAATAGAAAAATTCTTTAGAAGATAAAAGAATAAACCAATATGTATATACCAGATAAAGAACCAATCAACATTAATTTGTTTAAAATAAGAATTCATTAGCCACTTAATAAAATTTTGTATATTTTTATTTAATATTTATAGAAAAAATACAAATAATATTAAAAAGAAATGAAATTAAAGAAGTTTATATAAAATAGCAATAAAATAATGCATTATAAAATTTTCAACAAGATTAATGAAGCATTTCACGAATAACAATAATATTTAATTTGAGACTAATAGAAAAATAATAAAAACATTTAAATCAATAAAAATAAATCAAGAAAATAAAAAATAAAATTGTGGTAAGTTAAAAAAATGGTAACAAATATAATAATAATATAAATAATAATAACTTTCATAAATTATAATATATAAAAAATAAAAAATGAAAAATAATGAAAGAAAAAATAATTAAAACTATAAACAAAATAAATAAAAATATAAAAAGTTACAAAAATAATGAAAAATAGAAATAAAAAAATAATATAATAAAAAAATATAAATAAAACCTTTGAAATAAAAAGTATTAATTAAAAATAAAAAACGAAAAATTGAAAAAAAAATAATCAAAATTTTAAACAAATAAAAAATAAAATTAATAAAAACATTAAATGAATTAATTACTAATAATATAATATTAAAAACTTTTAAATTAAAATAAATAAACACAAAAATATATAAAAATCATATAAATTTAAAATAATAAGATTTTAAAATAAATTTAATTAAAAAAACTTAAAAATAACGAAAATAATAAAAAATTTAAAAAAATATAATTAATAAATAAAATAAAAATAATTAAAACAATAAAAAATAAAAACTTAAACTTTATAATAAAAAATATTATTGACAAAACTTTAACAAAAATTCATAAAAAGTTACAAAACTAAGAAAAAACTAAAATAGTAAATAATAAAAACTTTTATTTAGAAATTATAAAAAAAATAATAAACGTTAAATAAAAATATAAAAAAGTTAACACAATGTATAAAAATACTCAAGAATTAATAAAACCTTCCAAACTTTTAATTTTCCTTTGGCGTCTCCAGTAACAAGCATTTCACTGTCACGCGTGAATGCCATACAGAGAACAGAATCGTCCATCATCATAAACTTTTCCTTTAATTATTATTATTGTTATTATTTTATTATCACTATGAATATTAGTATTATAATAATTATTACTTTTATTATTATTATATTTTATATTATAATTATTAGTACTACCGCTATTATTATTAATACCTTTATTATTATTTTATATTTTATATTTATTATAAATATTATTATTACTCTAACTATTACTATATTATTATTATCTTCTTTTCTTTTTATATTATTAGTGATATTAAGACGTTAGTCTATTCATAATTAAATTATTATTTCTATTCGTACACACTAAAGTTGAGGGAAATATTGAAACTTCTTGTTATTATCCATATTCATACTATTATTTATTATTAATAATATTATTAATATAAATTTTTATATAAATATAATACTTCATTCTGATAGTGTAAATCTTTTCTTAACTTACCAGTAACGTAATTCCATACTTCAATAAATCCTTTTATTAGTAACAATAATAATATAAAAATAGCAGTATAATAAAATTAATGATAATACGACTAATGAAGATAATGATATAATAATAATATTAAGAATAACTTCACAAAAAATAATAAAAAGTAATAGTAGTAATAACCATCCACACTGCCAGTCACGAGGTATTGCCCATCCGGTGAAAAAAGCGCGCTTTCTATGGAAGATACTTTTCCAAACTTTATTATAATTATTATTATTATTATTATTATTATTATTATTATTATTATTATTATTATTATTATTATTATTATTATTATTATTATTATTATTATTATTATTATAATACAAACTTTCATTGTCCTTGCTAGTTGTGTAGGAAAAGTCTCATTAGTTTCTTGCTCAATTTTTGCTTTTCCTCTAAATAAATCTATAGAAGAGCCGGGAGGGAGCATCCCTTGCAACTGTTGAAACTTTAAAGCTTGCCCTAGAAAAAATAAAAAGTAAAAAAAATATTGTATATAGAAAAGTTTTATATTAATTATAGTAAAAAAAAAGTAAAAATAATATATTTAAAAAAGTTTGATATTGAATATATTAGAAATAGTATAATAAAAAGTAAAAAATAATACATAAATAGAAAAGTTTTTTATTAAATATATTTAATATATACGTTGAAAAGTAAAGCTGTATTAAAAATAATTTATAAGTATATTTATATAAATTATAAAAAATAAAAAAATTAATATATATAGAAGTTAATATAGTAATGTATTAATAAAATATAACAAAAAAGTAAATTTAAATACGTAATAAAGTTTTATGTTAAATATAACAGTTTTACTATTATTATAAAAATATAGGTATATGAAAAAAGTATATTATAAATATAAGTAAATGTTATACAATGAAATAAGAAATAATGTATAACAAAAAAGTTTACTATTTAATAAATAAAACGTTTAAAAAAAATATATTTATATATATTATATTAAATAAAATTTATAATAAAAAGTTACAAAAAGTATATTTAAAAATGTAATATATAAAATATATTTAAAAAATATAATAAAAAGTAAAAAAATTCATATATAGAAAGTTTTGTCATTAAATAGATTTTAAAAATCAAAAAATAGAGAAAAGTTTTATATAAAATATATTTATAAAAATTTAATATTAAGAAAAATAATATAAATTTAGAAAACTTTTTATTATATTTATGAAAAATATTAGATAATTATTATAGTTAAATAAGTTTTTTATTAAATATATTAATAAAGATATAATAAAAAGTAAAAAAAAATTATTTTAAGAAGTTATTTAAATTAAATATATGCGAGAAAGTACAAAATTATATACTCAGAAAAGTTTTACATAAAATAAATAATAAAAAATGAAATATTTATATAAGTTGTCCATTAAATAAAAATATAAAAATATAAACAAAAGTAAAAAATAATATATTTATATAATATTAATGTATATAATAAAGTTTATTATAGAAAGTAAAAAATTATTAGAAAAAGTTATATAAATATTTATATAATATGAATAAATTTGAAAACTAAAATGGAAAAAGTCTTAATAAAAAAAATATAATATAAAAACTTCTTTAATATAAAATTATAATGAAAAAATTAAAAAAGTTTTAATATTTAAAAAAAAATTATCTGTCGAAAAAAATTATACAAATATAATAATAAACATTTATAATAAAACAAAATTAAAAAGGAAATTTTTATAGTATATAAACATATTTCTTATATAATATAAAGAGTTCTTTAAAAGAAATCTTTATCAGTATATTAACTATTAAAGTAATTAATATTTTTTTAACATAAAACAAAATTCTCAAAGCAAAATACAAATATTTTATGAATAAATATATAAATGTTCGATAAGTAAAAAAAACTTTTTAAAATAATATTTGTAGATATAAAAATTCTTCAAGGGAAAATAGAAATATTACTAAAAATATTTTACAATATCTATAAAGTAAATTAAAGTTTTTTAATAAAAAAGTTCTTCAATAATTAGTAAATAATAAAAAAAAGTAATAAAGAAGACTTTAGTATTGGTATCAAAATATTTTTTATAAAATAGAAAAATTTAAAATTATAATATTAGAGAAGTAGTAAAAAAAACTTTTATATGACAAATAAAAAAATTAAAAAAAGACTTTTATAATAAAAAAGTTCTTTTATAAAAAATAAAAATAAAAAAATAAAAATAATTTATTTTTAATATTCGTCGGTAACAAAACTCTTAAAGAAAATATAAATATATAATTAATAAAAATGTTTAATAGTATTTATAAAAGTAAAAAGAAAACTTTGAAAATAATAAAAAAACCCAAAAGTGCTAATAAACGGGAAGGCGCAACCACCGAGACCTCGTCAGAAAGTGCATTCGCAATAGCCATTCTTATAAAAAAAATTTAAAATATATATAATATAATTATTATTATAAAAAAACTTTAATCAATTTATAATAAAGTAAATTTTTTATACAATTCATTAAAATAACTATAAGAATTTAATATAAAAATAGAAAAAAAAACTTAAAAACAATAAGAAAAATATAGAAAAGTAAAATATTATATAAAAATTCTCATAACATCTATAAGTATTTCATATATAAATACTATAAAAACTTAAAAATAAAAGAAAAATAGATAAAAGTAATATGTTATATAAATATTACATTAATAAAATTTTACTTAAAACTTTTATAAATGCGAATTCACAGGAGCCATTCTTAAATAAAAATAATATAATATAATATTTATATTTAATATTATATATAATTTTCTACTAAGTATTATAATAATAAATAAATACTTATTAAAAGTATAATATTAATTATTACATAAATTATAATAAAAATTTTTAACATATAAACTACAAAAGTTTATAAAATTTTAAAAAAAAAAAATTTTTTTAAAAAGTATAATATTTAAAAGATCATAATAAGTATTTAAGGTATATAAAAACATTCATAATAATAATGAAAAAAATATATTATTTGTAATAAATATTATAAAAAAATTTTATTAGTTATTATAATAATAAAATTTTATTATAACGTAAAATGTTATTTAACAAAAAAATAATATAAAACTTTTTTGAGATATAATACTAAAAAAACTTTAAAAATATTTATAAATATAAAAATAAATTATAATTAAGTAAAATATATTAAAAAATCACGAAAAATTTATAAAATATTAATAAAATATGTAATAAAAGGAAAAATAATATAATAAGAACCATTAAAGTATATAAAAATTTTTACTATAATAACTTTTAGTATTTATAATAATAACGCTAATATATATTATTAATGTTGTTGTTATTATTACTATAATTATTTTTTGTTATTATTGCTGTTACTAAATGTTACTTGAAGAATTTATAAATAAAGTAATGACGAAAAAGTTATATAAGTAAAATAATTCTATGAAATAATTCAAAATTTCATGTAAAGCAAAATTTTATAAAAAATTAATTAATGTAACTTATGTAAATTATATAATAAAATAATATATAGAAAGTAAATTATTCATAACATATATATACTAAAAATTTAAATATTATAAAAAGAAAATATAATAAAAAATATTTCTGTTAAAAAAAATTTTCAAAAAAATTAATTTAATATTAAATAAATATTAATAAAATGAAATAATTTAATATAAATATATTAATTGGTTAATAATATTTCAGTTATTATTATTACATCTGATATAAATTTATTAAAATATATGCAATAGTTGTTAGCATTATTACTATAAAATATAAAAAAACTTTATAACAATTTATAAATTTAAAAGAAAAAGTTTTTATTATAACAGTTTACAAAAAAAGTATATTATATATATAAAATAATTTATGACAATTTATATATTTTTACTAAAAAAATAATTTATTAAATAATTTATTATTATCATAATGTAAATATAATGATAATTAATCACAATTTACATATAATATAAAAATTAAAATAAAAAAATATTTATAACATTTATTATATATCCAAAAAATGTTATAGTTTATTATTTTTATTATGGAAATATTAAAATAATTTATAACAATTTATATATTCAAAAAAATAAAATAATATATAATTATTAGTATAATATGAAAATAGTTTACTACAATTTATATATAATAAAAAATAGAAATTATATTAATAATTTATTATTAAGCTGTTATTATGAATGTAAATCTGAAAATAATATAAAACAATTTATACGAAGTAAAAAAAATATATAAAATATATTAAATATTTATTATTTAGTTTTGTGAATATGAAGAACTTATAACAATTTACATAAATAAAAAATAAAAAAATATATATTAAATATCTACTATTTAGATATTAATATGTATGAAAATAATTTATAACAATTTATATTTTAAAATTTTAATAATTTAATATTTAGTTATTATTATTATGTAAATATGAAAATAATTTATAACAAGTTATATTTTAAGAAAAAGTATATTATATTAAAAATTTAATATTTAATTATTATTATTAAGTAAATACGAAAAACTTAAACAATATATATATTAAAAAAAAAATTATTTATAATAATATTTAGTTATCAAAAAAAATTAAATAATATATTATTTAGTTTTTTATTATTATATTATGAAAAAGCTATTAACTTATACAAAATAAAGAGTTTGAGTTTATTAATAAAAAAATATTGTAATTATATTATTTTAGTTATTAGTATTACAATAAAAATATAATTTTGTGTAATTAAGTAAAAATACTATTATATAAAAATATTATTAAAGTTATTATTATAATAAAAATATATATTTTTGTATATAAAAAAAATAATAACATTATTATTTAGTTTTCATTATTATTATATTATAAAAATGTTAATTTACTTCATCAAAAGGTAACAGCTTAAGTTTATCATTACAAAATAAAATAAAGTAAAGCAAAATATAAACAAACGTTATTATATTTGTTTTTTAGTTTCTATTATTATTATTATACACATACACGTTATAGTAATAAAAAATTTAAGTATACTTTAAAAGTATACATAATATTATATAAATGTTAAAGATAACAAAAAATCATTATTATTATAATATTTAAAGTTATTAGTATATTTATATATTTAAATATACATAATAACTATTTTATAATTCTTAAAATAATAATATAATGTATAGTTATATTAGGTAACATCCCTAAATTTTTTATACAAATAAAAAATATATAATAAATATACTATAAAACAATAAAAAATATAAGTAAATATTTTAGGATTTTCTAATAAAAATAATTAATAAATATAGAAATATACTATAAAACATTTTTATATTTCATATAAATATAATAAATATAAATATAAATAGTAATACTGTTATAAATTTCTAAATTTCTTACTATAATAAATTCCATTTATATATATTTTTAAATTTCTTATTAAAAAATAATAAATATATATCAATATACTATAAAACATTTCTAAATTTTTATTATATATAACTAAAATAAGAGATATATATAATGATAGCATTAAATATTTCTACGTTTCTTAAAATAATAATAAAATTTATTAATAGTATTTATAAAAATAGTTTAAAATATTTTTAATAATAAAAAACTATAATTCAAAGTTTCTTTTAAATAATACTATAAAGTAAAGCACATTTTTACTGTTTTCTATTTTTATTTAATAAAAACTTTTATAATAATAATAAATATATTATTAGTACTTTTAAAGTTGACAATAATAATATATAAATAAAAGTTTATATAATAAAAATGTGCTTTTTTTTTTATAATAATAAATATATATATAATAAAAGTTCAGTTAAAAAAAAAATTTATATATTAATGTAAAGAAAGCTCAAAAGGAACAGCTTTGATAAAAAACTTATAAAAATAATAAATTAAATAAAATAAACTTTTATTAAATAATTTCTTATTAATTTTTTTATATATTTTTTATTATTTGTTATTTTTAAATAAATAATTTAAAAACTTAAAAACCACAATTTATAATAACGGAAAATCTTTTACACTTCATATAATTATTTCTAGTAATAATACTAATATAAGTCTGTGACTATTTATATTTATTAGATTATTATTAGAAAAAATATTATTATAAAATTTCAGTAAATAATATTTTTTTAAAAACTTGTAAAAATTATTATTAGAAAAAACTCTTAAATACAAAAAAAAATTTTATTATTATAATTACTATTTATATGTTTTTTATTAGTTTATTATAATATAAATGTTATTAAAAAAGCTTCAAAAACAATATTTATTTAAAAATTTTTGAAAATCAATATTATAATAATAACTTTACATTTCTTACAAATGATGCTAATATTTATACTTTTTAATAGCTTCTTATTAAACAAAAAATTTAAAATTAATATTTTATAAATAAATATAATGTCTTATATTAAAATAACTAAAAGAAACTTATTAACTTAATATAATTGTTTATAATAATAATTATCATAGTTACTGAGAAAATTATTATTTCTTATTATATTTTTAAAAATGCGTGAAAAAAATATCCTCTTTCAATATAGACATTATAATAAAACCTATATATACAATTATTTCTATTATAATAATTATTATTATTATTACTATTATATATTTACTTTAAGACTATATACTTTTATTTATTTTAAAAAGCGAAACTATTATTTTATTTTTCTTATTTTTCGGATTATTTTTTTTTTTATTAAATTTTTTCTGAGTTCAAGATAAGTACGTTAAAGAGTTTTCCATGTTCTTAAAAAAACCTTTTTTTTAGTTCTTGTTGTCTATATTTAATAAAAGTTTAGCGCATTACAAAAAAAGAAAAAAAAATTCTAAAATTTAATTAGAAAATTCAGCACTAATTATTTTGATAAAATTTTTCTAATATAACTATAAAACTTTTAGAAGTAGAAATATATAAAACATTTCTTATTAATACTAAAAGTAAAACGATTTTTCCTGCATTATCTTAAATATAAAAAAAAAATTAATAAGTAAAATTTAAAATTTATAAAAATAATTAATTTAAAAGCAATATATATAAATTTTTTGAATATATTAAAAGTTTAAATCTATATAATTATTGATTAATTTTTTTGAAGAAAATAAATTTCAAAAATGAAATGAATTTTTATGATTTTAAAAATATTTAATATTCTATAATTTTTAAATTTCTTTAACTATAATTTTTTACATAATATAAATTTTTTTTTTGTAATACTAGAAGTAAAACGAATTAGTCGACACAATCTCAAAAGTAAAAAATTCTTTATAAAGTAATAATAAGAATCTATAATTAAATATTTTTATTATAAACAAAATAATAATAAATAAAAATTATATCACGTTTTTTATATGACTTAATTATTATTATTTATAAAAAATAAGCAAAATAAAAATTCTTAATAAAGTGTTTGCGAATTAACAAAATTAAGCATTTATTATATTAGAAGTATTATTAACATTATTTACTATAATTATAATAAAGTATAAGTTATACTTTATAGGATGGTAAAGCGCCGGTATATAATATAATTAGTGTAACTTTTTAATATAAATATTAAAATTTTAAAAAAAATTTTAAAATATATATATATAATTATTTTTAGTTTCTGTATTTAAAAGCGAATATGGTATAAACCTGCGCCTTTCTTTAGTTTGCCCATCAGGGTATGCATCTCGGTGATCAAAATAAGGCTTAGCAAGAAGATTTTCTAAAGCCAAGTAACGATCGGGTTGCTATTATAAATAAAAAGTAAAAATTTAAAAAAGATTAAAAAAATTAAACAAAAATTAAATAAATCTTTAAATTATAAAAAAAATATAAACTTTTTCTTTCATAGAGATCATCGGATTAGTCTGTCTTAAAAGCGATCGAGCTGCTCCGAGTTCACGAACTTCAAGCAATTCTATAATAATCTAAAATTTATACAAATTTTAAAAATGAATCATTACTAAATTAAATTATACAACCTGTTCATATAAATCATAAAGTTTAACGGTACTTAAATTTAATGTTTGAACGGCACTCAAGACCGTATCCCAATTCCCATTTTTTATATCAGACACAAAAGATTCAACGCTATCAACTGTATTAAAACAAATGCCTATAAAAATGTAAAGTATAAAAATATTATCTAAAGAAATAATGCAAAGAACAAAATACCGGTTTCATCTTTCAAACTTTGTAACGTTGAATTTAAATTATTTTCTTTTAAATATTGAAGAATCAATCGGACTATACTACCAAAAATAAAATAAAAAAGTAAAGAGTAGATAAATTATTAATAGAAAGTAATTACTCGGCAGATTCAATCTCTAAGGAAGGTACATTCATAACAAAAAAGCCATAAAATTTTTACAAGTGAAGTTTAAAGTGGGCGGATTGTTCGAAACGATGCTAAATGCTGTTAGCCACGTGCAGAAAATAGTATTAGTAGTACTTAATAGAAAGCTGTTTTGTTTCTTAAGGATTTTTATTTTTCTCTTTAAAATTAATATGTACTTGCACTTGTCTTTTTGTTAGGGAGAAGGTTGTTTATGTGAATGTGTATGCAAAGTAAAAAGAAAAACCTTCAGTTATTACTGCTAATGTTTATATATTCCCTGCAAGAGGTTTAAATATTACTTGTTTTCATAAGATTTTTAGTTATCACTATCATATTGGGAATTAGCATAATGCTTCTACAGTTTTAAATTATCGCCACCTATATTAAGTTTTATGTCTAGCCTGACTTTCTTACTTTATTGTTGTAATTCTTTTTTATTATATACATTGTTTTTAGTTTTTTAACTAGTCTTATGTAAATAGTTAATAATTTGAAGATAATAATAAAACCCTATATTCTTCATGACCTTTATTTTTTAAAATTTAAGCAGTCTCTCTAATTAAAAACAGTGCAATCCTAAAAAGAAATATCAAAAGTTTAGAAAAAAGAAAAAAAAAATTAGACTTTACCCTATACATTTTATTCTCTAAATTGCTAGATCATATTTATACCTTTACAAAAGGTCAAAAATGAGAACCATATTATGTATGCATGTTTAGATTAAGTTTAAAAATATTTGAGTAAACATGTTCAATCTGGTTTTGTTTTGAAGACAAGTTAAACCAGAAGTTGTCATATTCGTATAAAATAATAAATGGTTGAAATAGTCTTGTGTTGATTTCACAGGTTGTAAGTCTTCGAAAACTTGTATATTATAGGCAGTAAAGTAATATAATATAGACAATATAAAGTATATTATAGGCAATAAAGTGATACAATTTAAGAAGTCGAAATTATAGAAAGGATTATAAATTTATTTTATTGTACAGAATTGCCAAGGGCGCCAAGTACAATTGCATAACCAAAAAAAATAGTGGCAATTTATTGTGCACTGCCCTTGAACGTTAACCTCTTACTATAAACTTACCACAAAGATTAAAAATTGCTTTCTTCCGCATTATTAGCTTATTATGTTTATGGTAGGTTTATCTTTGTATAATTAATTTTTTTTTGGTTAATTGTTCTTTCATGTGTATGTGTTTTTTGTGTATATGTTAGTGTTTTTATGTATAGTTCTAGGTAAATTCTCCTAAAGTACCAGCTTGAAGTTGATAAGTGAGCACATGACAACTGCCAAATCCAATTTTTTTCTGTTTACAACGAGGGTAGACCACTTATAGCTTTTTTAAATAAATATGAATACATCCTCTTGCCTTTACAAAAAAGGAAACCAAAAGTTTTCATACTCGATGGACAACCCCATTGGCTGAAAAATTTTAGGTTTTTCGAAATTAGCCAGAGAAATACTATATACGAAATACCTTATACACTCTTTCTCGGAAGAATGAAAAATGTGTAAAAGTTAATAATCTCCGTGATAATTGGTGCAACTTAATTAAGTCGATAAAAATATTACTTGTGACAAATTCTTTATTAACAGACAACATATCAAATGCAAAATCGTAATTACAAGACTGTACAAATACAAAAAAGTCTCCTTCAAAGAAACCCCCGGTGAATGCAATTACAGCACGCACTATTCTCGGTACTCTTCCTTCTATAATTTTTCGGTCGGATTCAAGTCCGAACTCCATGATTTGGAGGCCCCTTCCTTTCTTTGCCGGCTTTCTTCTCTGAACGTTTTGCAATACCAGGACCTTTCCACGAGTCGTTATAAATAAACAAACCACTTATAAGTGCTCCTGGTAACACATCTGCAGTATAAAAGAGTAAATCAAGCCTTGGGTAGCACATACCCTCTACGTTATCCGGCGCTTTTAAGAACTCGGTCAATGTGCAGCGGTTTCGAAAGCGCTCTGACCATGGCTCACACTACTGTCACGACAACTCATGCAGTAACTTACAGCCCCGATTTCCTTTCTGACGAACTAAAGACATTTTCCGCCGACGAAGAAGTCTTATCCGAGTGGCCCTGTTGATCGTAGAGCGTCGAAGACAATCTTGTGCTTAATCAACTGCGCAGGTGCATAAGAAAGAAACTAATGGCCATTTTAGCCATAAATGGGAGACCAAACCGCGCCATATATCCGAAACAGGCAGTAGCAGCAGCTCCTCCCTACGGGCTTGCACCACACCACCCCTTCGTGTAGGGAAATGTAAAGGCTGAGTAGGATAGAGACAAAGCTACGCTTTTCGCTGATCTCCTTGCTACCCAAAATATGTGCCCCCTCAGCAGGGCTTACCTCTTCTTGATCTCTAAGAAACACTTAAGCTAGTTAATGTTAGGGAAGTTCAAGCGATTGTCGAAGCGCTACCCAAAAAAAAAGTGCCTGGCCTAGATGCATAACTAATGAGATGCTAAAGAAAGTGCCATTAACAAGGGTGCACTATTTGTACCTCCTAGTAAAATCTGCTAATACCCTTGGCGCCTTTCCATTCCGATAGAGGTGGCGACCGTTGTGATGCTGCCGAAGACATTTAAACCCCAGCGATTTGCAAGGACAGACCCATCAGTGCACCTGTCAGCAGTCGGCAAAGTGGGGGAAGCCATTTTACTGCTCCTTCTTAAAGGGGTCTTAACTCTTGGGACGCCTTGCTCCTCCACTTAACTGAATGGATCACCCGCGTTTATAACTTTAAAAAGGCAACATGCGCTGTCTTCCTTGACGTTGGAAAAGCATGTAAGCAAGTTCGTCATGAGTACTTCTTTACAAACTGCGCTCGTTATTAGTTATGACCTTTAGAACGCACAGTATTTTGACTCGATCGAAAACCGGGAATTGTCATTTATAAATAAGTAAATAAACAATAGACAAGGTCTTCTGTTTTTAGTTTTGTGACGTCCTTTCAACCTATAGGGTCGTAAAGAAGTTTTAGCTTTATTTTCTAAAGAACAACTTTAATATATTTTTTTGTCTATAGGACCGAACAGAGTGCCGTCGGCAACAGTCTATAAGAACTTTAACAGGGGCTTAATGTCTTGAGGGCGTGGGCATTATTAAAGTCCTAAAAGCTCAAAAAAAAAAATTTAAACCGATTAGGAGTACTGTTGCTCAAACCAATTAATAAAAATGGTATCCACCGTTAACCAAAAACTGAAGAAATAAAAAGGTTATTCCTATTGGAATATTCAACTTATTGTTTATCTTAATAGAAAAGTAGTCTCAGAAGTTCTCCATTTTCCAACATTCAGCGATAAGAAAATGAAGCCATTGGCTTGGACGCTCTAATTAGCCGAATCGATAAAAGCGTGCTTTCATAATGAGGGTAACTAGAAAAAAAAGTAAAAGCAAAAACAGAACTCATAATTAGCAAAGTAAAATCATTATGGGAGGCGGTTGGGTCTTTCTAAGTGCGAAACTCCCAGCGATAAAACTTGCTCTATAAAAGGAATCTCTAAATATTAAGATGAAATATGGTGAGAGTGTTATTGAAAATCAAGACGGGTTCAATAACCTGGTGGGGAGTTTAGAAGCATATTCAGTAAAATTTGACCGATTACATATGGAGTTATCAGAGTAAACTGTGGAAGATCTTAAAAGTAGTTTCTATGATGCAGAAGAGTACTTGTCAAACTCGCTGAGGCATGGCAACTAACTAGTAGTTTAACTAAAACCAAGATAATGGGCCCAAAGCAGTTTTTGGAAGCATCATTCAGAGGTAAAAAGAAAGTCAAAAAACTTTGAGAAAAACACTACTATGTAATATAAAGAGAGAAATAAGGGTCTCGACCTTATTAAAAGGGATAGTGAAGTGTATTATCGAAGTTGAAAACCCGGCCACAAAGAAGACACAGGCTTTTCTAGTCACAGGGATGCTTCAAATGTGTAAAAATTGGCCATTTTGTAAAAGAATGAAAGGGCAAAATTTTCAGTCACACATTTCGCACTTACAAAGGCAGCTCTAATTTAATTTTTTAAAATAAACTTCAGAATAATTTTATTTCGTTAAGGATAAAACTCATCCTTTAAGGAAAAACACTATTCTTGACCCGGAAGCTAGTGGTCATATATAAAAGCAAAATATTTGTTAAAAATTTTAGACCCTCTAAAGAAAACGTCAGAAGATTGAGAACTAAAATTAGATTAGTCGACGAAGGAACGTATTGCGATGGCAAAGTCTTGATACTACCTGATTCTTCTTACAACCTTGTAATTGTTGGATAGCTATGTGATACAGGAGACAGTTTTATTTATCAAGGAGAAAGCTTTAGTTAGGATCACTGTGAAGAATTATCAAACAGTTGTCGATATTATCGGTAAAATCCCTCTCCGAGAGACAATGCAAAGATATATACTGGGTGAACACAGAGTTGGTTAACGAATTTCGAACTAGGTATGAAGGGTATGAAATTCTAGGGCATTCCGGCGAAGCACTTCATTGGTAAAAATAGTATGGGTATTAACAATGCCCTGAATCAAACATGATAAATGTTAAAGTTAGGAGAAAAGCAAAATTTTACTATAGTTATTCAGATATATCTGAAGAATTAAATGTGGGATCTTCATGGACCTTATCCTCCTTCCCTTAGGAGTGGTAGTATGCGGTGTTGATTGTCTGTGAGCGTGCACGCTTTGTCTGGATTTTAATTCTTATTAACAAGAGCGAAGTTTCTGTTAGAATGGAGAAGTTTATAGATCGCTTCCTAGGAAGGAGGTATGATGTTAAGCAAATTCATTCGGACAGCGCGAGGGAGTTACTTCCTAAAAATTGGGTGAAATGTGCAAAATTAGATGCATCGACCCTACATACAGGGCACTCGAAACTCCCTAGCACAACTCGATAGTGAAAGATACAGTGGACTACTAAAGCCGTTAACTAAGATCATGTTAATGTCGAAATTAACTGCAACTCCAATAGAGGGCGCCCCACAGCTGGGTGCATTTAATCCGTTATTAGGGTACACGTTCGACAGTTAAAAGGAGCACAGTGGAGAGAAGTCATTTTGGCGGCATCAATTTTATTCATTTAAAAAAAAAATTCGAAACGGACAAAAACCAATTAAATTAGTTAAACGCGCCATCTTTAAAATTAATTTTTAATTACATTAATTAAATAATATTTATTACTAGTTTTTAAAAAAAAAGTATTATAATTTGTTCTGCTTTTAAAATTCTACAAATTTAAATATTTAACTCTATTAAAAATTGGCCATCCAATTTTTAATAGAGTTAAATTAATTAAATATATACAAAAATTCAAACTAATCAATCAATAAATAAATAAATAGAAGGTACGATTTCATTAATTTAATTAAGATCCGGTTAAAAAAATCACGTTAAGAATAAGTGCTCTTCCGACGTTCCTTTAATAATAAAAGTAAAAAATAAAATAAAAATTATTATTAAATAAATTTAAAAAATAAAGTAAAGATTAAAAATTATTTATTAATGGTAATTATGTTTTTTATGTTTAATATAAAAAATTCGACCGGAGTTTTCCTTAAGAAATACGGAGATTCTTGAAGGGAAAGTTGACATAAATTTTTCGAAACTTCAGTTAATTGTTCGTCCTGCAGTTCTAACTTTTTTAACTTTTCAGCTAAAATAAAAATAAAATAAAATTTAACAATTAATTTAAAAATTGATAAATCCTAGTAAATTTGAAGATCAATTTTTCTTTTTTTATATAGAAAATTTTGTTTTAAAAAAAAAATAAGAAAAGGAAATTTATTAACTTATTGTGTAATAATAATTTATAATAATAAAAAATTTTATAAAAATATATAATAAATGGAAATTGAAAGAAATTCAAGGTACTAAAAATTTAATTATAAAAATTATTTTCATTTATATATAATTATTAAAAACCAAATTTTTTTTTTATAACTTAATTATTATAATTTTCGCTGATTTATATTTTTTTTAAACAACAAAAAAATAAAAACTAGAAAATTTTCTTAATCTTTTTATAAAAACTACAAATATACTTAAAATTAAGTTTTGCAAGACAATAAACTTTTTTTGCTATTGAAATTAAAAAATAATCAAAAAAATTTAATAAATAAATAAATTTGTTTTAATTGCACATTTAGAAGTAAAAAACTTATAATATTTTAAAAACTTATTATAATTAATGTAAACTTCCAAACATAATAATATTATAATTATAAAAAAATAATTAAAAAAAAATTAATTATAAATTTTTAAAAAAATAGGTTAAATTTGCTTTAAAATTTATGATTTAAAGATTTCTCATAAAATTATTATTTTTCTAATGAAAATATAAAAAATAATTTTTTAAAGTTTTATTATTGATTTATAATGAAAGTAAAAAAAATTTAATTTTTAATTTAATTATAAACAAAAATTTTAAAATTTCGTACTAAAACAATAAAAATAAGTAAAGTTGAATCCTGCTCTTTACTGAATTTTTCTACTTATATATACTTATTATTATCACACTTGTAAAAATCTTGTTATTAATATTTTCACTTATATATATTTACTATTTTACTTATTATTATCAACTACAAACTTGCGTTAAAACTTTTATTACGAAATTAGACTTTATAATAAAAAACTTTTTAAATTCATATTAGAAGAATATATTCATTTTTTATTATTATTACTATAATTATTACTTTACTTTTTAACTTTTATCTTATAAAACATGAAAGTAAAAAAAAATCATCTTCAGTATATATGAAAAAAAAATTTGCGAAAATTTATTATATAACACTTTTATATTTATATTAAATACTAATAGAAAAACTCCTTCTCAAGTTCAACTATAATACTAATAATAGTGAATAATTTTTTAATTGAAAGTTAAAAAATTTATTATAACATTTTGAAAATAATATTTTATTAAAAAAAATATATTATATTTGTGAATCTAGTTTATTATAAAATATTTTGAGTAGATAATAATTATATAAAAAGAAAATTAATTTGTAAACTTTAAAAAAGTTATATTACAACGACTTCTAGTAAGAGGAGTGCTAGAAAAATTTTGTGCCTTCTTATTTTCTTTCTCAAAAAATTCCGAAATTTTTGAATCTTTACTTTTATTTTCTTTATTTATACAGTTCTATACAATAATATATAATAGTAAACTGAGAACAATAATAGTTATAACAACAAAAATATTATTAATATTATAAAAAATTATAATAAAATAATAACCTTCATGAAAATACAAATAAACAATAATAATAATATAAAATAAATTTAATAATAAGTAATAAGCAAAAATAAATGTACAGGAGATAGAAAATCAGTTGCCGCTTTAGAAATTAATTGTTCATCGATTTTTTCAGTAACAGGTAAAGATAAATTCTTATTTATAATTATATAATAAATAAAAATTTATCAATATAATAAAAAATATATTTCAGTAATAAAAAATTTTTATAATAATAATTATAAAGAAATTTAGTTTGAAATAAATTATTATAATTAAAATTAATACTTTAAACTAAATTAAAATATTTATAATATTAATTTTCATGAAATTTGATAATAAATAAATAATTATAAATATTTAAACTAAATTTGAAGCTTAATAAAAGAATTTAAAAGAAATTTATTATAAGTGAAAAAATTATAAATATAAAATAATAAAATTAATAGTAATTAAATCAAGACTAAAATTTTATGTTAATTTCAAAAAAATTTTATAATAATTAAAAAGTCATAAATTTGTTATAATTAAAATAAAGATACTTTAAAAAAAATTCAAAAAATGATAAATATAAAATAATTAATTAAAAATATTATAAACTAAACTATAAATTTTATAATAATAATTTTAAAGAAATTTTTTAGTAAATAAAAAATCTAAATTAAAAATAATGAAGTTAAAAACATTTTAAACTATTATAATTATAATAATTTCATAGAAATTTTTTAATAAATAAAAATTGTAAATTTAAAATAATTTTAAGATATTTAATATTAAAATAAATATTATAAATATAAATTATAATAATTATTAAGAGAGTTACTAATAAATAAAAAATTATAAACATAAAAAATTTAATTAAATATCTTTTGAACTAAATTAAAATTTTATAATAGTCATTATATAGAAAACTAATAATAATAAAAAAATTATAAATATGAAATAATAATTTAAAAATTTTTACACTAAATTAGAATTTTTAAATAATATTAAAGAAATATAATAATAAATAAAAAAATAAATATAAATTAAATAAATTAAAATTTTATAATAATATCAAAAAATTTTAAGTATCTAATAATTATATTAACAAAATTTCAAACTAAAAATATTTTAAAATAATAATTATAAAGTAATTTGATAATATATAAAAATTTAAACGTATAAAATAATGAAATTTAGAGTTATATAATAATTTTTTGAAAATTATTATAATTAAAATTAACTTAAATATAATTTAAAACTACACTAAAAAAAAATTTATAAAAATAACTAAAAAAATTTGCTAATAAATTAAAAATTACAATTAAAATTAATACTTCAAACACCAAAAACTGGTAATTTACGAAAATATACAATAAATTTAAACTTATAAAATATTATAAAATATAACTAGAAAAATATTAATTAAAATAATATTTTAAAAATTTAACAAAAATAATAAATTAGTACTTATTAAAAACATTAAAATTACTATAAAATTTAGGAAAAAAATTATTTTACTAAAATTTATAATAAATAATAGTGATTCCTTAAAAAATCAAATAATAAAATTATAAAATTATATAATAATTATACATAATTTTATAACTACAAAAAAATACAAAATTGAAAAACACACATTTTAATATATAATAAAATTTTTAATTATAAATAATTATATATATATCAATATTAATTGTAAATAATCAAAAAAGTAAATTATTATTCATAAAAATAATTATTATAAAATAATTGTTATAAAATACTTTTGAATATTTTTAAAAAATTATTTATTTTTTTATTTTTCATAATTAAAAATTAATAATGAAGTAGTAAATTATTAAAATAATAAATTTAATTTTAATTAATATTTGATTAATTAAACCTTTAAATAAATAAACACAATTCCACTAATAAAAAATAAATTGAAGAGAAAAAAAATTTAATAATAAACTTCGAAAAATTAAAATAATAATTTGTACAACATTTTCCAAGTCAATTAAAGCTGTTGAATTTTTTTCACTAAATTCCGGAGTAGGTATTTGCTCGAGCTGAATATTATCTTGAGTCTTTACAAAAAATTATATGTATTATTATTAAAATGAGATGATTTTTTGTTTTTTAATAAAAAATATTAAAAAAAAAAATTTAGGAGGAAGAGAAGAATATAAAAAATTATATAATTAATTTATTACAAAATAACTATTTATACAGAAACATTTAAGAATATAATTATTATTATAATTCTAATTCTATAAAGTTCTTATATAATTAAAAAAATGAAAATTTTTTACAAAAAATTTCCTTCAATTAAAAGTTAAAATCAAAAAAAAACACCAAATACTAACTTGAAATATTTAAACGTTTAAAAAGTAAATTTTTTTTAACCAACTTTTCGAATTTTATATAATATTATAATGAAACTGCTATTAAAAAAAATAAAACGGCTAACAAATACAGTATCCTTTGATTTTTCAGGAGAAGTTCCAAGAAGAGTTTCATTATCACTACTATTCTATTATTATAAAAGTAAAATTTTTGAAATTATATTTAAAAATAGTAAAATATACACAAACAATAGAAGATTCTTCCCATTTTTCCCAAACAGTTTCATTAAGAGTTTCATTGTCGCTACTAATCTCCTTTACCTACAAGAAACTGTTCTAAATTTTATAGTAAATTACTTTAAAAAAGTAAATAAAACTTTTTTTAACGCCCGATTTATGGTTTTTTCAGCTCTTTCTTTTATCAACTTCTCTTCTTCTTCATTTAAGTGATTTCTGTTCGTTATTATATATAAAATTAAATTAAGATATAAAAAAGTAAAAAAAATATAAACGATAAACACTCGCGCTCTTCATTAATTCCAAAAGTTAGACCTTTAAAAAAAGACAATAAGTAAAAAATTAATATTATAGCCATGAAAAAATAAAAATACGTAATTTTGTAAAGAGAATTCCCATTTTTTTTAAAAAGTACTTTTCTGTAAGCACCTAAAAAAAAAAAGAAAAAGCAAAGTTTATAAACTTCAGACCTCACAAAAACCTTAAAATATAATATTTTTTTATAAAGTTTGTTAGAGGGCGATTCGTATTTGTATTGTCGTTTTACATTCAACAGTAATAAGAAATACAAAAAACAAAATCTTTAAGTACTATTAGTGGGAAGAAATAAATTGTAAACTATTTTGAATTAATCTTAATTTTTTTTGTAAAAAAGGATACTTGCTTTAATTTTTTAAAGACAAGCGAGCTAAACTAGCGTTTTAGTGTTTGCAGTTGGATTCTTTTGTTGTTTAACTATTTTAATTTTTATGGATTTAAAAAAGAAGAGAGACTAGCCGAAAGACTTCTATTCAAAGAAATGACCATAATTAAATAGGATCTTTTACTTTAATTAAAAAGGTCTCAGAAACTTTAAGATTTAAAATAGTGCACATTGCCTAAGATGTAGATGTAGTTATGATAACATAATTTTTTGTAAATGTGACCGTGTCTTTTTTTTTTAAAGCATACTTCAACATTAAGACAATGAAAGGAAAGAATTTTGGATAAAAGATATAAAGTACATTCGCAGTTTTTAAGATTATTGTTTTCATAACTTTTGCGGAAATGACAGTTTTTCCTTTACTATTAAAATTCTTTTCAACTTTATTTGTATAAAATTTTCTCCTTAAGTTGTTAATATCTTTTTTCTTCTAGACAAAGTCTATATCTAACTAGTTATAAATTAAACCAGTATAATATCTTAGAAGCTTAACAAGAGCTGTTTGGCATATTATAAAAGTTAATTTTTTTTTCTGCACAGGGCTATATACTAAAACTTTTTGCTTCATTTTTCAAAGGAAGCGGAGCTTGACTGACTCCCGTTTTAATATTAATAGACTTTATTCTTGGCGACGGCAACGTTAACAAATTAAAAGAAAACTATATTTTCTCAAAACTTTTTATAATTTTCTTCCTAAAAAGTGACATACAATAGTGCAATAAAGGAAACTAAATGTAAAATTTTTCACAGCAATCAAAGGTCCGACTTTATCCAAGCCTTAAAATTTTTTCTTAGGGATATAAAGCTTAGCATTTACTTAAATATTAGGCGTTAATAGTTTTTCACTGCTGAACTACAACAACAACTATTATACCTCGTATGAAGTTTTACATATTAAAACATTCTTTGTAAAAGAGAGAACAATTTTTATCCATCTTATAAGTATAACTCCTACTGTAAAGTGATTGAAAAGAGGTAATCTAGAATCAGGGGCCCAAATGAGCTAGGAACGCTTGCGAGCTTTCAAGAATATGCGGAAACCCAAAAATCAAGAAGAGTTAATAGTATTTTGCAAGTTCTAAACTTTTGAAGTTATTATATACCACGTAATGCAGTAATAGAAGAACCCTAAAATATATTATTAACCAAAAGGAGCTAAGTTTGTGTGGGAAGAGCCAGAAGATTCTGCAAGGAACCAAATTATATTAATATTGGAGAGGAGTATAGACGTTAAACGTATAAAGGTAATTATAAAGTAGTTTTGCAAACAGATGCTAGTGACTTTAGAATGGGAAGAGTTTTATTCCAAAGACATGAAATATTGTTAACATTACATAAAGCTTGTTAGCTCCATTAGTAAAGTTAAGGAAAAGTATAGCGCCAGTAATATAGAGGCACTGGCAATTGCAAGGTACACGAATAAGTTAATGGACTATATACAGATTAACTATAGCGACTCCGACGTAACGCGTAAAAAAAAGGTGAGGTAAAGAGGTTGAATTAGTTTACGCCAACAATAAAGAATCGAAGATTCTGGTTAACGGAATCTTGTAGTAATACTTACACTTAATTTAATCTAGTAAACATGTTTCCTCTTATAAGCAGGATCACTTAAAACTAGTTTTATAAATCTCTTCTAAATTGGGTAAAGGTAATTCTTTCACACACGTTTAAAGTTGGAGATCAATTAAATTTTTTTTTTTTAAAAAAAATATACATAGAGAATTACAAATATTAATAAATGAGTAACAAAATAGTTGATTGATTTTACATTGTAAATAATATAAAACTTTTCTTTATAAAGATAACTTTTATAAAGGACTTGAAAAAGTTAGAAATTATCGTCTTGAAAAAAATAACTAAAAAAATAATTTTTTTCTCTATAATATAAATATTAAAAGGTTTAAAATAACGAGTAGCAGAAATTAATTCGTTTTATCTCTAATCGTAAAAAAAATAAAAATTTACAAATCAGTTTATTAAAGTAAAAAACTTTTCAAAAGCAATTTCTTAGATTTTTTTAATAATAAAAAATAAAATAATAAAGCAGTTTATAAAAAAAAGTAACAAATAATTTTGTAATTTTTTTTAACAAAAACTTAATAAACAATTTTACATCATTTTATAATAAAAGTTATACGATATGAATTATAATTTTAATTTTATTTACTAATGACGTGCTTTATAATATTTAAGTCCATTTTTAATAAAAGATCTTGAATATTTCGTAAAAATATAATCAACGTTTCCATTGTTATCAGCAAGTTCGCTTAATAAAAAGTATATATAATTTAAATTAGCAATTTAATGAATATAAAAAAATAAAAAATAGAATTTATATTAATCAACTTTAAAAATTATAATAACTAAAATAATAAAAACTAAAATTTACTATTTAAATTTAAAGTAAAGTAAATTAATAAAAAGTTTTGTTATATATATAAAAATTAGAAATTTATATTAAAAAATAAAAAGGAACTTAAGATTAAATTAAAAATTATTTCATATAAATTTAAAAAATACTGTAAGTGAAATAATAAAAAATTCTTTTTTATAAAATTTAAAAATAAATTTAAATAATTTAAAGTAAATTAAACATAAAAAATTTAAAAAATAATATAAATAAATTTCAAGTAAAATAAAATTATAAAATACTTATAATAATAAATAATTTTGATAAAAAAACTTAAAAATATTTCTAATACAATAAATAATAAAATGTTTGCAACAAAAAAAAATTAAACTTTAAATATATTTATAGTAAAATAAAACAAAAAAAATAAATTTAAAATAAATTAAAGTAAATTAAATTTTAAATTATATTTATAATTATTTTTTTTAATAAAAAGATGTTTAAGATAATAAAAGAAAATTATTATTAGTAATAAAAAAAACTTTAAAAAGGTTTATAATATAACTTGAAAACATTTTTGGGTAAATTTAAATAATTTTTAAGTAAAATAAAATTATTAACTGTTTATGATAAGAAAGAGATTCAGTTAACTTTATTAATAAAAACTTAACAAAAAATTTATAAGTTATAAGTAGATAAATTCTAAGTGAAATCAAATTATAAAATGTCTATAATAAAAAGAAATTCTAAATTAAGTTTTATATAAAAAAATTTAGAAATGTTATAATTAAAAATTTAAGGAATAAATTTATTATAAACTTCAAGCAAAAATAATAAAAAAAGTTATAAAATAAATTAAGAATTAATTTAAAGTTAATAAAAATAAAATTTGCTAAAAATTTTTATAAATTCAAAATTTCTTCTTAAACTAAATTAAAAAAAATTAGAATCAGAAGAAAATATCATTAAATTTATTCATATGAAATTCAGAATTACTTTTTATGAAAATTTAGAATTTAAAATAAAATAAATTTAATAAATATTCACAAAAATTATAAAAAACATTTTAAATTATTAATTATATATAATATTATAATGCTTATAATAAAAAATTTATAAGTAATTTAATTTTAAAATTAAAAAATGTTCATAAATAAAAAAAAATTTAAGTTTACTATTATAAAAAGGTTTAATATAAAAAATTTATAATATATTTTTATAAATAACTATAATAAAACATTAAAAATGCTTATAAAAAAAAATTAATAAAAAAAATTTAGCATCAGTTTAAATTTAATATTAAAGTAAAGTAAATTAAAACTAAAAAATGTTTTTAAATAAATTTAGATATAATTTAAAGTATTATAATAGTATAATTTAAATTAATTATGATAAAATTATAATTATAAAAAGTTTAGAACAAAATATTAATAAAGAAATTTAAATTTACAAAAAGGAAGAAAATAAAAACTGCTATAAACAAAAATATAAATTATTATTATAATTTTAATAAAAATTTTCTCTATCAATAATTATATAAATATATAAAAATAAATTAATAAAAACTTTAAAAAAAGAGATTAATAATTATATGCAAATTTATATGTAATGAAAGTTATAATAATAATAGAAATAAATAAAGTTTATAATTTAAATTAATTAATTAATAAAATATATTTCCTAATTTTTATCAGAAAAATAATTAAAAATCATTTATAATATATAAAAAGTTGCTATAACAATAATTTTAAATAAATAAAATATCTATAATATGGATATACAGTATGTAATAATAATAGCAAAAATTTAAAAAATATTAAGTAATAATAAAAAGTACTAAGTTTTGCTTAAATAATAATAATAATAAATAATGATAATGATAATAATAATAATAGTAATAATATACATTTATATTATTTTACAACCAAAATGATTATATTAAAATAATTAAATATTTATAAAATACTATAATAATTTTAATATCTGCAAGAAAATGTTATCAATAATAAAAAAAACTTTACTAATAGCAGTTATAAAGTAATAAAATCTTTATAATAATATTATTAATAGTGATATTAAAAAAAATAATTATGTTATTATTATTAATAGTAATGAAAGAAATAAAATAATTAATATATAAAAATAATTAAATATTAAAATAAATAAAAAAAGTTACCATAAAAAAGGTTCTATTTCTTGAAACAACCACGTGGTTTTTGCAGCAAAAAGTTGTTCCATTCTTTCTTTCGGGTTAATAGAAAGTTCATGTTCGGGAAAATATTGTACAAACTTTTGCGTGCTCTTCTCAAAAGTAATATAGTTTCCCTTTTATTATTATTTATGATTTACTATATTTTTATATTATTTTTATTATTATTAT